GTTGTCATTATAATATCATGCCTCACTACTTCATTTCTGTGGACACTCATCATAAGTCTTGATCTCTCCAAGAAAATAATGGCAAAGTTCAAGTTACACAAACACACAGCTTGATTTATTAAATAAATCATGTCTTGTGAACCATTTTTAGGTAATGAGAAACACCTGCAGGATTTTGCCTCCTTGAATTGCTCAGTTTCAGTACTGATTGAAGAAATTGCCAGAGTTTGATTATGTTGCTCCAAATGCGGGACACATGCACTTTCACATTCTGTTATGTGGGGCACTGATTGTGCTACAGAAATACTCAGTGAGCTTTATCGCAAGCGTACTTCATTAAAAAGTACACACTTAGTTTTTGAGTGAGGTGATGAACTGTAACGATCCTCAGGTTTGGTTGGCAAAAGTGTCAACAAAACAAAAATAATGTCAAGCTGTTTTTTTTGTGATTGTTTTTTTCCCTTTTAAATAACAACAACAACAACAAAAAATGCTTGTACAATAAAAACTATTTTCAAAAAGTTAAACTTTGAATCAAAAGGTGAAGAAAAACTTAAAAGCAGCAAAAGTGCACTAGGGTGCCACCTCACCCAACTTGACCTCTTGACCCCAACATATTCAAAGCCGTGTTTTATGATATTAGTGATATCATAGCAACTTTATTTCATAGTTATTAGCAGAGACTATGTAATTATGACCAGATTAAGTTAATCAACCTATATGGCACTTTGTAGCCTTTCAAACAAACAAAAAATGCTAGCAAGAAGCAAAGCTGCAGCCTCGGAGGTGTCTGTAAGCTAGAATCTTACATGCTATTGTTTTCATGTCAAACCAAAGTGTTTCCCTTTCAGACACAGGCTGTACATCTGTAAGCACGTGGTTATCTAACCACAAAAATTCCCAGTGTGTGTTTCCCTCAGCTCCTCTCCATGTTTGCCTGAGGAATTTTATTGAGTCTGAACAGCAGCCACAGACACGCTGATCCCCTTCGTTTTTTCGCATGCTTCTCTTTGCATGACGGCGGGGCATCCCTGTTTTTCTGACACGAAAAAAGCGTGGCATTCGAAAAAAAAAAAAAAAAAAGCTGCACTCCTGACAGACAAACACATAGATCAAACAAATTGAGGAGGATAAAAGCGCCCGGGGCCGCAGCACCACAGCTGTCCAGATAGGGAGGGAGACCGCAAACTGTTACGTCCGCTCACATTTACTGTGATCAAAGATCCTGCTGCGTTACTGAACTGTTTTCCCCTCATTGCTTCCTTATGTGAGGGCGGCATTTTGTGGCACGGGCTCTTCTATTTGTAGTGTCCTGAAGGAATTAGACAAATCTAGTGAAAAACAATGCTTTTGTTTTCTGGTAGACAATGACACTGACACCAGGTCAGATCGCCTTATTGGCCTTGGCTGTTACTGTGTATCCTGCAGAGAGTTGTAAACTGTAGATTCCAGAATAGATACCGAAATAAACAATTTAAGATGAACTTTAGAATTTTTTGGGTGAAAATGTCAGTGAGTGCCATTATAAAAAAAGTGTTCGACATATTGTTAGTCGGCAACATGCAGAGGGCCATTTTAATTTAGTTAAAGGGATCAAACACACAAATGAAAACCATACCTTCATCTGTCATGCATAATATAGTATCAAAGTATCATAATATAGTATTCAAAAGAATGTCCCAACACAGACGAGCTACATCTAATGGCCAGAACTCTGCAGTTTTCACTCATTTACAGGCCAGCGGTCACTCTTTCAGAGATGAGGATGTTCTCATTCTTGATAGAGAGGARCGTTGGTTTGAGAGAGGAGTAAAAGAAGCCATTTTTGTGAAGAAAGACCGTCCATCATTAAACAGAGGTGGAGGCCTCCGTTTTCAGTTGTCCCCCTCCTACAGTGCTGCTATTGCCAGTATCACTCCACCCCCTGTTAACAATAGGTGTTAATTAGGTGCGATAGCCATGTGATGTGAGTATCAGTCACATGGAGGCAGGGCTTAAAAGCCTGAATTTTGCCTGAAACTCTGACTGAAGAAGTCTCTTGGAGGAGAGACGAAACGTTTCATTAGAGAAGAACCCGTCCAGAAGACCTACACAATTTTTTTCTTTTTTTAATATAGTATCATCTGCAAAAGTGCAGAGTCGGTGAAAGGCTTGTTCTGTTTTACTATCAAAGTCTAGACTGTCTTCTCTTTAAAACATTTTTTTTTCAATCAAAAATGTCAAGAGACCCTTTCAAGACGTTTTGTTCTAGTAACAAGTTTGTAGAATAGCTGGTATTCTTGGTAAGATGAACAATCCTCTCCTAACATACTGATGGCAAACTAACACATATGTATGAGTTTAGATATCAACTCTTGGGTAAAATTTCAAGATGCAGTCATATTTTTTCTTTTTTTTTTAACATCCACACTTCTTAAACACGGCAACACCAAAAACAAAACAAAGAAAAATAGGCCATTTTTTCAGTGGAAAACATAAACAGTACTCTGTTGTGAACTAATTAAAGGATAAATAGAATTTGGCAAATTAAAATAGTTAGAAATTTAAATTTAATGTTTTATTTTTGTTGTTTTTATTTGATAGCATAAGGGCCAGACTTACTTGGTCCAAGGGCTGTTTCCGGCCCTTGGCCTGTGGATTGTATATCATTACATCTGTATACCATTTATATCCATATGACTGTTGAATTAAATAAACATAATTCTTAATTTATAGTAAACATATTTCAAATAATTTGTGACACAGATTCAGTTGGGCTAGCTGTTAATCACATAGTTTCTATGACGGTTGAGAGCCAACGCCTTCCATAGTCACKGKTTTTGCTCCTCCATGATGTCACAGATGCTAGATAAGTGGGACTCACTCTAGTGATATTCAACTCTATGATTGCACTGGACTTAAAATACTCTGTAATTGTTGGTATTTTACTGCTTATTGTCTAGGTTTCCCATCTATGCTGATGGTATTTTTAGTAAAAATAATTCGTACGATTAAGTGTCCTGTAAAATTTATTAGTGCGAGTCAGTGTGAAATGGTCTGTTGGGACAGAGTGTACACTGCAGATCGTCTTTTTTATTTTTTGACACTTCAAGTGCACAAAACAAGTCTGAAAAAGGTTATTTAAGATCTGTTCTATTGAATAAAGAAATGGTATTTTTCCAGCAAAGATMTGATTAATGTCATGAAAGACTTAGCAAACAGCAGTTAGAATAAGTTAGGATCAGGCTGGAGAATATAACAAAACATTTGGCAGATGAAGTACCAAGACTTCCCTCCAGAGCTGGAGCGAAGCGAATATTGGAGTTGCTATAAACATCATGTTGAGCTACAAAATGTGTGAAAAGCCAATTGTTTGCTGGCATGCCTGCCAGTGCTTTGTGGCCTGCGTCCAAAATAAATACAGTTTTAAAACATCAGCATCCAATTTGATTCAGCCTAATATTCGTGTTGCAAGTGCAGCTGTTTCACAAGATGCAGACCAGTTTTTGCCATAAACGTTGTTGTTTTGCATTACAAAAGAAATTGCTCTCATCTGGTGCTGCACGAACCACTAAAAACAACACCCTCTTCCTGTTGTGTGCCATTAAATAATATTTCCTCAGCGTGGTGTGCTCTGTATTCACAGGATCTTTCCAAGTTTATTACTCTTACTTTAAATATGTACTCATCTCACCTCCATGGGGTTGTTCCACCACAGTTTCTCCCTTTAAAAAAATCACACGCATACACTAAGTGTATGCGCCTGCATGCACTGAGCAGGGTGAAGGGGTTCCCTGACCCTTCGCTGTCCCAGTTGTTTGACATCTGGGGAGCAGATGTGGGTCTGTGTCTGTTGCAACAGCAGATGGAAACATCAGGGCTTTGCCTGGGCTTAGTGAAGGCTCGTGCCCTTCTTCCTCTCGTCATCCTTTCTTGCCGTCTCTGGCTTTGAGTGTTTGCTCAGGTTTTGTCCCAGGCTCAGTACAGATTTCATTTTCTCAATCTTTAAGAGGTGAAGTATAATCCACCTGAAAATATAAAGAAGCTTGTTTTATTTTATTTATTAATTTCTCTGTTCTTTTAGACAGACTTACCCCCCATACACACATACACACACACATTTTCTTTCATTCTAGTATTTTTTTTTWAAATCTCATTCACATTTCCTCTACTGTGTGTCCTAGGTGTGTTCGACAACTGTTCCCATTCACTAAATGATAAAGGCTGGTCAGTAGGCATTCAAACTATGGAACCAGCGGGCACCAAAGATGCACGGTTCTACTTCTCGCTTCGTACAGACCGAGCTGTGAAATCCACCACTGTCTATAGTCACCACCGGTACCAAGCCAATGTCTGGACTCACCTAATGGCCACATATGATGGCCTCAACATGACCCTGTATGTTGATGGAGCCAAGGTGTGTAGTTTTTTTAATCTATAATTGAACTTTTATCAAGTTTAGTCATTTAGTTTTTTTCATTTTGTTTTTACTTTTAAAGTTTAGACCATAGTAAGTCCTTGGATTTTTTAATCTGTTATTAGTATAACCTTAGATCTGAAATAGTTGTGACATTGTACAAAGTATAAATAAAAACAGGATGCAATGATTTGTAAACCCTATAAACCCTAATTTTTTCACAATGAAACTGAATGTCATAATCAGCGTTTAAACTAGAAAAATCTTTTTAGGAAAATAAAAAGTTAATTTTGAAATTTATGGCAGAAGCACATCTTAAAACTTTAGGATAGGAGGAAATAAAAAAAGGTTTTGGGGGAGTCTTTGCCTCAGGTAGAAGAGTTTAAGTACTGTACCTGGGTTTCTTGTTAACAAGTGATGGTAGGATGGAGCAGGAGATGGACTGAAAGACTGGGGCCTCGTCCTCATTAATGAAGACTTTGCTTCAGTTGGTTGAAGTGAAGGAGGAGTTTAGTTGAGCTCTTGATTTACATCTATCTATGTTCCAATCCTCACCTATGGTCATGAGGTTTGTATCATGAACAAAAGAATGAGATCCCGGGTATAGGCGACCAACATGAGCTTCCTGCATAGAATAACTGAGCTCAGCCTTGGAGAAAGGGTGAGAAGCTCCATCATCATAGGGAAGCTCGGAGAAGAGCCTCTGCTGCTTTGGATCCAAAGGAGTCAGTGGAAGTAGTTCAACCATCTGATTAGGATACATCCTTTGGAGATTTTCCAGGAAAGTCCTATTAGTAACTCAGTGGAGATCTTTATTCTTTGCATCTTGATAGAGATGTCAAAGTTCATGTTCAAACTTCTACAGTGTCAGCCACTTGAAGCATTCAGGTCGCAAAGATGACTCAAGTTTGCGGCTGTGCTTAAAAAAGCTTTCTAAAAGTTAACCTGTGGTGTTAAAAGGAATTTATGTGTTGAAAAATGTTATTACTTATGCCCAAAACAGTTTGAAAAGTTTATGTCACGCTTTCTGGTTTTTGTTTCTCCTCTATTTATCACAGGTAGGAGAAAGTAGCCTCCAGTCTGGGAATCTCTACAGTCCCTTTATGCAGACCTGCAGAACCTTGTTTCTTGGCAGCAAACAGTCAGATGAGGGTCACAGCTTCAGGGGCCACATTGGAGGTGTGGTCTTATGGGACTATGCCCGCACCCACGAGGACCTACTAAAAGACACACACCTAATGGATACAAGCAAGCCAGTTCTAGCGATGTGGGGTGATTTCACCAATGTAAGTGGTCTAATTATTTATGTGTAAATATTTAAAACTTAAAACATGTTTAATATAATTTATCMTTTTCATTGAACTTTCTAACTGGTTATATACAATTAGACTAGACCAAAATAGTTCCAAACTTTACCAACACAGTGCTTCTGTTTTTAAGGTGGATCGGCTATGGACCCCTTATAAATCTGGCCTTCATCCGACTGTTGTCACCACTCCTGTACCTGAACAAGAACGCATCTCTATGTTTCTGCCCCCACCCTGTGGCCTGACACAGTGTGACAACACTGACATCATATCTGGCTACAACAACAACTGGCAGCTGCGTACCCCCAAGCGCATCCGTTACCAAATCGTCAACCTCTCGGATGATGACGGTGGAAATCCAACGGTGACGTTGTCCCAGATCCAGACCCAGCATCAAGCTCTGAATGAAGCCTTCCGGCCTTACAACATCACTCTGAATCTCAGCATCCATAACGTGAAAATCTCCAGACTTCGACAGAAATTCATCCTCAGCAACTGTCGAATAGGCAAGATTGGGAACCGCCAGTGTGATCCGGAGTGCGACCATCCGAGGACAGGCCACGATGGAGGGGACTGCCTCAGGATGGGGCACTGCTACAACTGGAAGAGACAAGATGGGGTCTGTAACCCGGAGTGCAACAGCATATACTATGACTACGATGATGGAGACTGCTGTGATGCAGACGTCACAGATGTCCTCAAGACCTGCTTTGATCCTGAATCTCCTGAGAGGTGAGGTTATTACAACCAACCAGGGAGTGTGTGGGAGGAAAGTAATTAGTCTGTCTATCTCACCAGAAAGTATCATAAAACTCAACTCAACTCAAGCAGATTAATCAGAACTGTAAACTTGAACTGCATGTTCAAATTGGTGCTGTAACCTTCTCCACTGGTTACAGAGACAGCTCARTGGAGGGCCACTGCAGATTACCAGGCCAAAGTACACAGTTATTTTTACCAAACAACTTGAGTGGCAGCCCRCTGCCTTCCATTCGCTCTGACAGACAGGCTCATGCAGAGTTCCAAATCACATGCATAAACTCTTGCCATGAGGTCGTAGGCCCACTGCTTTAAAGACCTTAATTCAAGTCCTTAATCCAAATTCTAACCACAAGCTGTACTGTACCACTAAAAAAACAGAGGAATGGCAGGTTAAGAAAAAAATTAATTTTAGTACATTTTGTTTTGAATACTTTAAACGGAAGTTGACAGCTAAATACACAGTTTGACTATTGTGTTTAAAACAAGAAARTAACTTGTTTTCTCAATAAACTTTGGTTGAATTGAACTGATCTCTATATAAATTCGATGTACTGGCAGMTTTGCTGGAACAAGTAGTTTGTAAAAGTCTGAGGGAATGACCTCATTTTAGCTTACATTCCAAAAACAGTTTTCTGCTACAGTTTATTTTTCAAAAATTTAAGTAGTTTAAGCATTTAAAGGGGCAATATTATGTGTTTCTCAGGCATACATTTAAATACTATACCATAATGAAGTATCTATGTCACTGTTAGTTGTTATTAAAATGCTGTTTTTATGTTTAAATAGAAAATAAACTTATCTTCTCGTCACTTCTTCTTCTAAATGCCTTGAAATTGGCCTCTGTCTCTTTAAGAACCACCTTCCACTTCTGTCTCACCCATTTCGGTGCGGGGTGGGGTTCCTGCTCGCGGTGGGGAGGGGGGGGGCTGCTATGATGCAGTTTACTTTGCATCTGAAAATACATTACCTCAAAGGTATTTTTAATCTGAAAAGAGCTACACTGAGTGAGAACTAATGTTGAGAGCTCAGTAGACAATTTAAGTTTCACTTTCACCGAGAGCCTGCAGGAGTCATGGGCGGGGTGTGTGTGTGTGTGTGGGGTGGGGTGGGGAAGACACGTCCCAGGGGTGTTTCTGGTCCCAAAAGGCGTTTCTGGTCCCTACCTGTCGTTTTGCTCCTCAGCGTGGATTCCTAAAAACACTGCAGGATTTCTCAAACTGCATGAATGAGTCAAAGCAAGGCTTTGGGTAAGTTTTTTTTTATGAGAGTATAACATTATACCATGATACAAAACTCAAAAAAGTTGATTTTACATGATATTGCCCCTTTACGTTTTCTTCTTACAGGTGATATTCCAACAATTATCATGACTAGCATGGTTGTAAAAGTAATGTAGAAATAAAAAAAATTTGCCAGATCAGAGCAAAATTAAAGTAATTTAATGCTAGGTACATTCTCACAAAGATTATTTTATTTTTCAACCACGTTAACCTAAACGAGCTGCAAAACATCCTGTGGAACTGCTCATCTTCACAAGAAAGATCCCCTTTAGAACCTCCATGAAAACTGAAGGCTCTCCACTCTTGTGATTGGACAAAAGGATTTATGTTTGAGTTCAATGAAGAAATTTCAATATTACCGGAGTTGTAAAGTAACTAAGTACAAATACTTTGTTATTGTAATTTTGGGGAAAATGTTTGGGCAGCCTTGATATATGTATATAAACTGAAACAGCTAGACTAGTGCATCCTAAATTTAACATGAATTAGTTATTTTAATACGATAAAGTCATTTCTGCATTTTTTTGGGGGGAGGTCACCTCCTAATAAATGTCATTACAGAAAATCTAACTGATCATTTTAAATCAATACTTTTACTTTTAATACTTAAGTACAAAAATATTAGATACTTTAAGACTTTTACTCAAGTAACATTCCTAAAGGAGACTTTAACTTTTAACAAAGTAATTTTTTGGTAAGATACTTGTACGTTTACTCAAATATCACTTTGTGGTACTTTATACAACACTTGATATTACTCATRTCTCTTTACAGTCACAGCTTTGAGTGCTGCTATTCAAATTTTTAATTGAATCAGTAATTAGAAAAAATGCTAATTATATATCTTAAGGAAAAACGTGAATTGAAACTGAAATCAAGTCAGAGAGTTAAGAAAACCAGAAATCCAAACTGGCCAAAATAAGTGTTTTTTGTTTATTTCTTCAGTACACAATTTCTGATTTTCATGGAGGCAAAACAGCTTGATTTACACCTTCAAACTCGGGAGAAATCAAAATCTTAACAGAGCCTATAGGCCCAATTTATTCATCTTTACTTTCTCAAACGTGTCCAGGATGTTGTTTTTGTATTTTCATTATTCAGCCATAGAAGTGATATGATAAAAGTTGGATTGTTAAAGAAATACAAAACAGAATAATGTGTATCTGTATAAATTGTTGGTCTAGAGGGATTCGATGTTCGTTTTTTGTTTTGTCAATAATATAAATTTTTGTTATATGAACTTATTCTTGGGAAAAAGGGGGCATAAATAAGATTTTTTTCTTCTCTGCTGCCTTTCATTTCATTTTATTTGTGATTTTGATATATATATATATATATATTTTCCTCATTTTTCTTTTTATATCTTTCTTCTTATTGTATATAAATTTGTTTCGCTTTAATGAAATGAATAAAGGAATTGAATTGAATAGAAGTCATCTGGGTAGCATACCTTAGATTTAACTCTTTTGCAGCTCATTCTTGTCTTCAGCACTTAATGCTGGCCAGATGAAGAAAAGACTRAGACGTCTCTTGTGGCCAACAGATGTGACCATCCTGTTCAGTTTACAGGTGTGAGATTCTGCAGCTGTTCAAACGTGAATGAGACTCAACCTGGAAAAAGACACCATGCTTACTTTAGCTTCTTCTGGAAGATACAGTTGACGTTCTGGGTAGAACYTGGATGTGTGTGGTCTCATTGCTTAGCCATATGCAGGAAATTCTTCAGGTGTGTCATAAYGTAATTTATGTTGTTCTGTCGTGAGCCTGCTGGGATAGAGGCAGGAGGACAGAGAGGAAAAAATGTGGTTGGTAGTTGTTATGGTCAGATGTACCCTATCACAGCCTGAGGTTTCGACCCTGCAGAGTGGGGATGAGCACTACAAAATGCTGTTTCGCTTTTGAAAGCAAACCTCAGAAGTTCCAGTTTGTGTACATTTCAGTGAAGCAGTGAAACTCCCACAGTGATCCTTGCCAGAGTTTCTGTCTATAAGCTCCTGACCCTCCACTAAAACAACACGAGTGGTTAACGCACAGGAGAGTGGAGTGTCGTAAAAAGCCAGGCCCAGCGGGGTTRACAGTACTGTAGGTCTCCTTGAAAGGTGCTGACCTCGGCTTGTTGGAAACGTGTGCGAGTTTTCGACGTGCCGTTTTGCATCTGTGTTTGTGGAATCATGAATTGAACTTTCTCAGGCAGAAGGAGAATTAATGAGAAGATGACATATTGCTGGCATTTGTTGAGCAACACGGGCGTTTTTATGTTCGTGATCTGGGTTTTTGATATCTCCCCTCGTCTCTCTCTGAGCTCCCGGCCAGCTGTTCTGATTGTGGGACCTTACTGCTGCTTGCCAGCACAGGTCCAGACATTTTAGAAGCCAGCTTTTGTCACAACACAGATTTGATGTTGCAAGCCTGGCTTTACAGGAGTGGCAAGGCACACTACAGCGTGTGGCGGTAAAAGATTTTGCTTGTTATGTRTTTGGTTTGACCAAAAAAGCTTCCAACTTTGTCATTTCTCATAATTACATCTTAGTCTAGAACTTTGTGATCAAAGGTCATATGCAGTGCTAGACCTTTAATTTTAGGTAAGCTGTCTGTCTATCTTCACCTGTGCAAAATCCAATGAGGTATATTGACTAAAGGTGACTTTTTATGATCAGACAGAGCAGTCATGTTGTTAGGGACGAGGACAACTCAACAGACAGTATTGTAAGCTGGTGAAGCTGAATGTGGTAACCATGACATATTAAATTTAGGTTAGCACATCAAGAAAACTCCATTTGCTCTTAACAACTATTGTTTTGATTTGATAGACTTGATCATATCAGGCAAAACCATGTTGCCAAGTTACACACGTCTTTAATGAATGATGTTTCTAATTGGCAGAAGCTAACCAATGAAAAACTAATATGCAATTCTAAAATTTAGCCCTAATAAATTGTTTACATTAACAGCCTGCCCCTTCCAATATGGCATCRYGCTCGTACAACAGCGKTCAATTTTCTGAAGCCTAGTCAATTTACCTCATTGATTTAATCTACCTCAGCTTTAGGTTGACTTATTATAAACCAAAGCTGTGAGTATGGCTTTAAAAAAATATTTAGGGGTAGTGATTGCTCGTTGCATCTGTAGACTCCTGAGTAATTTATCAGATTATTAATCTCGTCATTTTTRTTAATGCAACTTTGTATGATTTTAAGTATTTTGCTTGATTCTGTTAGTTTCTAAAATAGTGACTTGTCAAAATATTTTCAATGGACCGGCATTTATTGGTTTATGGGGTGGCTGTCCTGTTGCCGACTTTGCTGTTGATACACACGGTGTTTAACKTACCCACATATTTTAAAATTCATAACCAAAGTTTTCACTTCAAGCATGCRAACCTATTTATGTTTTCCCTGTTGGCAGTATTCTTCCTTCGGGCATCTTTCAGGCCTCAGAAGTTGAAGAGTCAACTCTTTAGTGGTCAGCTTTCTGTCATCTTTAATTGTGCAGCCTACGGTGATGGATCCTGCACATAGCCTCGACTGAACTCGAAGGCAATACAGTGAGAGTGGGGTTTCCTTAAAGCATCTTAAAATCCTAAACCTTATTTATTCAGGAAAAGCTCCCAAGAAAACACTTTTTCTTATTTACTGTACAACACATGCTCGGAGGGAGGGACCATTAACCAGTGCATTACCCACATACAGGGCTGCTGGCTGCTGAGACCCAAAATCTTAGAGCCAATTTCAATCTTCACAGTGTCTGGGATAGAAGAACTGCTGATTTCTTTTATTGCCCACTACCAAAAGGTAAAGGTGGATAATTCAGTCAGTTTTACAGATTCTCACCTAAGATTTATTGTGGAAGACATATTCTGAGTAGGGCTGCACAATACGGGAAGAAAAATATTGAAATATTTTTTAACAAATATATATTTCAATATAGGGATTTTCAATAGGTGACTTGAATAACACTTTATGTTATGCTGCCATCTTGTTGATGATGAACCTGCGTCAATCTTGCCTCTTTTTTGTGCAAGTTCGAAGTACATTTTTTGTTTGTATTTCAGAGGTATTTTTTCTATCGCTCATTGCTTTTCTGTTGGGACTTAAGTACGTTTGTTTCTCTTGTGCAAACGTGGATTGCATCTTACCACCTAACATCTTGCCTCTGTGTCACTTTTAATTTTTGTTTCCGTCATGATTTAATATTTGCATTCTTGCTCACTGAATTTTACCACTTATCCTACAGTTCTTTGCAAACTTGCTTATCTTACTCATTGTTGTCAAGATCCTCATTATCTTCCTCCGCAACTCAAGGACTCATTGCCAACACTTCTCCTAAAAATGTTACCAATATTGTCACAACAAAATGAAAGTTTAAGCTTTATTCGATAGGAAGTCGCCCACTTCCACAGGCAGAATCAACCTGTCAAAACAAAAGCTGTAACACGTGAGTTTGTAGTGTAATGACTTATGGTTTAGTCCCAGATCGCATGTGTCAAACTCAAGGCTCCCATCTGGCAC